GTGAGAAAAACAAGACAGGAAAATACCGGAGTAGCATTTTAGCATGTATAGAAATGAAATCTTAAGTGAGCACTGGGGTTTTACATGTTTGTAAGCAAAACTTTGATGTCGTTCAAGACATGAACCTCAGCTTTGTATTGTTTAGTGCAACAAAAAGCTCGGTTTCTTAATTTACAATTTATTATGTATTACTAAAAGGCACTACATTGTTCAGCAAACAGCCTTTTCTAAAAAGTAATTTAACAAAATTGAATTTGGGTGCAATATTTGTGTGTAAATACAATGTACATTTAAACTGAGTTGTGTATTCCTCATTTACATCAAAGCAACAATGCCATCACTTGTCAAGAAAAGCTCTGACAATTTTTTTACATCTATTTTAAAAAGTGAACTTTGAAAACTTTTCACCCCAAAAGAATTTTGGAAAAGTTTTCACACTGGTATGTTGTAAAAGAGTATAAAGATGCACAAGAAGTGAGAAAAGCACAGCATTGTTTCTTTAGAATATCAATTACCTGTACTTGTATTTTGAAAAATATTCTTGTTCTCTGCAACTTATTGCCTAGACCTGTTTTACCTATATGTAGTTCTGTTCGTCTCTACACATTTTTCTCAGCCTTGTGAGGGCATAGTGACGGATGATACTCTTCATGAACAACCAGTAGTGAGACTCAATACCCTCTGCTTCAAACATGTGGTCTCCTAACTTTGGAAGAAGAGGTCTGTTAGCCAGCTTTTCCAAAGAATTGTTGATAACTGTTGGCCATACATGTTTTTGAGGACAGCTGATGATTTATTGAATGAACTTTTTGCTCTGTTTCTAGAACAATGGTCATAACACTACCAGATGAGTAAATCAGGCCAAATGTGGAGTTGAACTCCTCACAGAACTTGTATCATGCTGAGAATGCGTCATGGCAGAGTTGCAATCTGCACATGGAAATCTGTGAAACTCTGCATACCACAAAACCAGCAATGTAAGCTACAGCAGCACAACAAACTCTACAGTCCATGACAAAGCACCCTGAGTGGGCATTTCAACATTCTGCTGTTGATCTTGTGAGGAGGATTCACGTCTAATTAGTTAGAGGCAGATAAGTGAC